ATAATAATCATCTTCCGCCCAAACACTTAGTAATAATATATTCTTTCATAACGAACGAACGATATGCGTTTTGTGTTAGGTTTTTCTACAACTGAGCGTACGAAGGAGTAGTGTTACATTTTATTTAAATTAATATTATTAACGAAAAATRTTTTCAGATGTTCGGGACATCGTCGCCCAAGAAGAATATGCCATACCACACGTTCGACGGTCGACCTCCAAAACGTTAACGCTGCACAGAAGTCAAATGTCCGTACAGGAAGACTCGTTGCCACGTAATCACCAGACGTTGGAGAAGTATTATGCCGCATCGGATGTTTGCCAGGTACATGATAATATGTTTATTAATTATTATTATTGAGTTGTGCGTTATTTTTGTCATTGATATCATAAGCTGTCTAATTTGAAGAATGTTAATGTGTTATTATGGTTTTTTCTGTGAAAGTCACGATAATATTGAAACCGCTGAAAATACCATTATGATAATATTATCTCACCCGGCGAAAACTCGAAATAATAAACACTGGCGTATGTACCTTATACCAAACGCGTTGACAAATAGCAAATGTCCCCGGGGTCGGATTTAACGGAACGCATTAGTGCCCCGGGACCCCAAATAATGAGGCCTCTGTTTTAAAATATAATACATGGATTTCCCCTCTATCACGCCTAAAAATTATTGCTGCGTTTTCAAAACGTGTAAAATTTAAATAAATGTCCTCAACCCCACCAAATCAAAAAGATGAATTTTTTTAAAGTCAACATTTAGCATTCAATTGGCAATTACTTGCAAGAYTATTTCCACAATTTGCAAGCTTTAGTTTTACTGTAAAACAAAAAATAACTAGKGATAGGGATCAAGACACTTGTCCACAGCCCAAATCATATCAATGAAAACACATTTTAAAATGATTCTTGAACCATCATTTAACAGCCAAATAACAACAATTAGCAAGGTCATCGTGCAAATTCGCAAACCAATATTTCTYTTGTGAAAGAGATTTTCGCACGTGTCTTCAGCCCACCCAGGACCGAAATAATGTGAATTTCGACTGAAAATTGTTGTTAGTTGAATGCTAAATGTTGACAAACAAAATTTCATCTTTTTATTGGGTGRGGTTGGGGACAGTTACGTTAAAAATTCTATAGTTTTATAAATTCAAGATAATATTATTTTTTGCTTTCCACATATTTTTTTGTCACACCTGCACAGAAAGTACCACTTTCGATGTCGACTGAAGCGTTCGGAAATTACTCTTTACATCAAGTGGATAGTAAAATCTTTTGTTTCCGACCGGCGGGCTGTAAAGTGAAAATTCCAGAATATAGTGGGTGGAAAAGTGGAAATATCCACTAGGTACTACTGTCCAAATCAAATTAAAATATGATACTAGCTAGTAGGTAGGTAACTCTCACGCTGTTCTGTATGAAACAGAGGCGCGACATAAAATAGAATGTGTAGCTTGTGCGAGAAGGCAATTTCAGTCTTGGGCGAATAAATTGCAGTCATCGCTTGCGGTCCGTGACTCGAATAATTTCTCATTTTTCACATACAATAATATAGGTACCTACTATAATTTTATCCACAAATAACAATCAGATTACATAATATGAAGTATTTAGAGCTGTAGACAAAAGTCTATAGATGAACACTGGTTGATTCACGTAACTATAAATACCAAACAACCAGAGATTAAAAACTTAATAAAAGTTCATTAACATTATCCTATATTGTGTATAAATAATTTTCAGTTTTACTCAAAGAAAATTGTTATAGCTACTAGGTAGTGTGTAATATTATACGACCGTATGTGGAGGATACATTATCATACTACATGAACAATATAAATGTCTAGCTACGCTTATGAAGGTGCTTCAAATGGACCCCTCTCCGAGTCCATCTATCGGCCCAAATCTAAACGTTATAGCGTCGCTTCACGCTATTTAAGTGACGTGTATATATGTGAATGTGTGTGCGTGAGTGCGTACAAACGCAATTTCGATGGATATCAATCGCTATCCCGGTTAAGCCATCGTCACAGTGACAATATTTTCCTATTAACAGTCAGTGGTGAGGACCGTTATGTACCATCTATATATAGGTATATTGTATGTGGGTGGATGGGTGTGTATTTTTCACGTCCGTTGTAGGACATTAGGATGAAGGTTTAGCCATTTTCCGGGTCGTGAGCAATATACTACGTAGTATTATACGGTTACGATTTCTCCTGCCCCATTCGGGTCCTAACGCTATATTCGAGTTACACTCTGTTATTACACGCGCATGTGTACATTGACCGAAATATAGTGAGGGGACAGGGTCGGTACAAGCTAATGGTCTCATGTAATCTAATATTGCCCATGGCGCGTTGTCAATATTGTACCGGATAATTCGAATAATCGAAAACGAACGGTTAACGCAAACATTCACTGTTGCCTTTACTACCACCATTATCAGATTTAGAATTTGACACCCCAAAACGCTTAGCCTGTCGTCCTCACTGAATGTCATTAACCGTTCAGCACAGTAGAGAGAGAGAGAAATAGAGAGATAGTCAGACATACAGACGGACAAGCAGGGAGACAGACGGGTACATTAAAAATTAATAAAATTAATAAAATAATAAATTCACACTCCATTTCTGATATCTAGGTATTAGACTTTATAATAAAATACTGTAAACAGTATAAATATGTGATTTTATCATTCACAGAGTAATAATTTCATGTAATATCATAAAATATTCAAAATTATCAAAACAATAGTTTTAAGGTACAATGCAGCAGGTAACATAAAAAGCAAATAATAGATATCAGACATAATATTATGTTGATTATTGATTTTGGTTTACCAAAAATTATAATACTGGTCGGTTCCATGCAGTGATGAGTGAAATTGGTTCTTGGTTATTTATTTATTATTATATAAGTATTTTTTTTTTTTTTTAATTAACCCACGGCAACACAGACCCTTGGGTGCAGTATATAAATATTATTGTTGTTTCGATATGTTATTGTTATACAAATAAGAGGAACCTTTTGGGTATAATTAATTGAAACCAGTTGGTATTTGTCAAAGTTACTGCTGGTCGAGATTTTTGTTGTCCATACTCAAAACAAAACTATCGCGAATGCACGGTAAAAGAAGAGGCGGCTGCTAATCGTATTCAAAAATGAAAAAAACCCATAACCAATTATACGCGATTCTAATTGCGCACTGTTTTAAGAGTTTACTCACATAATTCGTGTAGAAATTACGGTAATTATGAATATAAATCGCAAGCAGCACGCGATAAGGGCACGCCGCTACCCTCCTATTAAATATTATGATATTCGTATTCGATTCTCAAAGGACGTATACACAGCATTATGACCCATTTGAGTGTCCCCGACAATACGCACCTTAATTATTCGTCGATCTTGAATAATAATAATAATAAAATAAAAAAAGATTAAAAGTGTTCTTGTTATTACTGCGCATAATAAATAAATAAAAATATCTTATATATTGCATATCTTTATTTTTTTCCGACCGGATGTGTGTGTTTTATTACGAGTTTGTTTTGTTCCGGTGATAACGAAGAGACGACCACCAAGACAATATTTTTAAAATAATTATACGAGAGCAATTTTTTATTATTATCATTGTATTTTTTTTCTATGTCTTTCTACAATTCCAATTTTTCTGTTGAACATTCGTTTGTTTTCAATAGCATTAGTTATGGAAACTTATTCATATTTATACAGCATTTGCGCGACCAATCGTTCACAGTCAGTAAATAATTCGAGAAAAATTATGGAATAAATCCCAGACATTAAGCTTTTAGTATCATGTTTTAATATGTATTCGGTTTCTTTTTATTATTTACAGTATTATTTATTAGATTTTTTTWAAATTTTTGTTTGGTATTTTAAATGCGTTATTACCTAACCGGTCATTAAAATTATGAATACTACAATAATTGGTCTATACTATTTCTCGAATTATTCATACTTAAATATGTATTTATTATAACATTTTAGATTCTGAGCGGAGCGATGATTGCATTGGTTTTACAATGATATTTATTTATTTTTCTTTTTTATCCTGTAAACACTTTTTCTCCCTCTAAACTTACTYAAAAGTATCAAGTATAAAATCTTTTCTGAAAGGTTATGTTCTTGAACTCGTACTTTAAAGAGGTCATTTTTTTATAAGCATTTAAAGTTCAAATTTTGACAACATACGCAAAAATCACGAATATTCTCAAATTATTTTAATCTAGAAATTCATAAAAAATTTCTTTTTAAATCTAAGTTTTGACGATTTTTTATAATCTATAATAATATCATATCCTAGACAGATAAACCGTCTCCGCTCAGAATCGTTTTTCGTATACAATGATATAATATAATTTGATTCAAATTTAATTCCATCCATTACAGTAGCCCATTATTAACGATTGATAAAATGTTATCTCATTGTTTCGTTTTTATTATAATTTTCAATAAATAATATATTTAATATCTACTCATATTAGCTTTATATCTAATAATATTTTCAAATAAATACATTTCAA